AGTCATAAGTCTACTCAGTCTAGATACAGATACAGCGGACACAAAGAGTGTGTCGAGTTCAATTAATTAACATCCCACGCAAAGGTATAGGCATATGTAAGTCTGAACATGTTCCATATCCAGTCAATAATAGTGTGTCTCCATATTTAACAGTTCGAGCATAGTTCAACAGGTCAGTCACGATAGTTCATATCAACCAGTAAGTCTCTAAGTGTTCCTTAACCACGGTTCAATTAACATATCCACAATCTATATCAAGTTAAGGAATGTACACTTCCACACAAATTCCCATATAAACAATTGCACATAGTTAAAGTAATACATGCGTCAGTTGTTTCAGTATTCTGAGTATTTTCTGAAACTAGTGTGTGGGTACAGAACCAGTCGTACTAGCATTAGGCCTAGTGTTGTTCGGATGAGTTTGCGGGCAAGATTTAGCCAAGTGCCCTCTTTGACTACATCTAAAACAGGCCCCTGACAGGCGGCGACAAATGCCCCAATGTTGTTTCCCACATTCTTTACAACTAGGTATACCATTGTTCACATTGCTTCCCTGGCTTTCTTTGTTCACAGTTTTCGCCCTAGATTTTTCATTCGCAGAAGTTATCGAATTACTAGTCATTTCAACCTTCTGTTTCTTCTGTTTCGCTCTTTCTGATTCAGTTGATGATGTTGATTTTGATATTTTCAAGGCTGCTATGTTTGCCTCGGACATTAAGGCCCTATCAAGAACATCCACGTATTTTAGCAATTTTAAGACGCCAACTCGATCAAACACATCTAAGTCAAGCCCACCTTCAAAATTTCTAACCTTTTTGTAGTCAGTATCTATCATGTGGGGTGCATATTGGGCCAGTTCGGTAAATTTTGTTTCATATTCGGCCACAGTCATATTGCCTTGCTTTAGTTGTTCAAATTCGGATACCTTCCTAGCTCGAATGCATTGGGGAAAGTATTTTTCGAAGAAAATTTCTTTAAACCTTTCCCATGTCACACCTTTATTATCATTTCGTACTAACATCCACCATCTCCTAGCTTCTTCTTTAAGTGTGAATGTTGCTAACAAAACCTTATGTGCCTCAGTACACGGAAATACCTCAAATATTTTCTTAGTTTTTAAGACCCAAGCCTCAGCTTTCAACGGTTCAATACCCCTTTAAAATTCCGGTGGTTTCATCTTATTGTATTTCTGTGTCAGTGTTACCATATCATAATTAGCTGGTTCAGGTACATGTATTTGCCCTTGTTGCTGTTGTTTCAGATTTTCGGTTAAGGCTTCAACCATTCTTTCTAACCGGCTAATTCTAGCGTCAGAAGATTCAGATTCGTCTATATTCCTTGTCCTTTCTATTGGCTACACACAAACAGAGTGCTTATTAATATAAGGAAAGTTCTCACTGATTTCACATTTCATTCCATATCAAACGTGTTTATACTTTTATTTCAATTCAGATACAGTCACATGATCCCTTACTTTCACACGTTCACGTTCACGTAGATTCCACATTCGGTATTGAAATTAACATCACATTTATTCCACTTAACTTCTTTGATCATGCACAAAGGTTTCATTTCAATGTATTTTCAATAAAGACGTGTTCATAATAGTTCATACACTTAAACATGGTAATGCAATATCCTTATTTCATTTCTAATACATCCTATAGCTCATATGGACACGTGTGTGTGGTATAACTCGTGCTCTGATACCACTCTGTCACGATCCAAACCCGCCCCTATAGGTTTAGCATCGTAACCGGCCAGTAACCCTTGGATTACTGAAGGCCTCTGAACAGATTAACAAAATTAAGGGGCTAGCGGAAGCTAATACATAAATATAATTATCCAATGAGCTGTGTTGACTTATATGAAACGGAATATTTAAAAAATTTATATACATAATCAAAAGTCATTCATACATTATACCCACACACATTAGAGTATCTTAAGTACAGCCAACAGAACAAACGAGTCTTATATATACAGAAACAACAGAACTTAAACACTTGAGACACTCCAGGAACCTCCACGTGAGGCACAAGGGTTGGCTGACAACAGAACACAGATCCAGACAAAAGCCTTCAAGCTAGAACTCCAGAATGCCCACCTATACATACATATACACACAGTGAGCTAAAGCCCAGTGAATAACATCAATGTAAAGAGGTTAGTGAACGAAATCCGAACATATCATAAGCGTAAAACAGATCATAGCATAATCATTCTCATATCAGAACATAATAATGGTACATCCCATAGAACACATCACATAACGTCTTCCGATTAGAGTAATCAGTTCCGGATACCGATTAAACACATATCACCACAATGAAGTGGCTAACGAGATCTCGTAATTACTTGCATGTCATGGACCCGCATTTTCATGCTGTCCCCCATGACTTAGGACTATCTATGGATACCATAATAGATTTCAAACATGGAATATTCGTTCATGAAAACAGATATCATTTCAGAAATCACAGCTTATCATATTTCATTTAGAACATAATTCATATGAACGTATCTTTACGATAACGTTACTCACAGTGGTTCTAGTAAGCGGTCAATCAATCCTCGAGTCTTGACCTACGATCACAAAATACATAACACAAGCATGTCTTATCATTACACATTCAAGTGGCCATTAAGGCTTAACTTTCGTTATATTGGTTCTTATTCTTTCTTATCACATTACCTAAAACACACACACATGTGAAGTCTCGGAACTTAGTACATTATTTTCTTAGTGTGTTTCTCATCCATAACCTCATTACTATGGCTTAATTAAGGCTTAGGAATGCCTAAGATGCAATGAGGATGCCAAAACATGCCTTGGAACACTTAGGAAATTTTTTTGAAAATAAGGTCCACGCTTGAGCGTAGCTTTCCTCGCTCGAGCGGACATGCAAAATGTGAATGGTCGCTCGAGCGCACATTATTTCGCTCGAGCGATCTGTAAAAGACATGAAACTTCTAGGAGTTTGCGATTTACGCTCGAGCGGGCTTTTGGTCGCTCGAGCAGAGTGCACACACTCAGAGTGGTCGCTCGAGCGTGAACTCCCACGCTCGAGCGTAGATGCAAATTCTGGAATTTCCAGATTGCACCTTCAAGCTCAAAACTCGAATTCCAACCTTCAAAACACATCTCTTGGGCCCCAAAACTTGAGATAACATAGTAAACTTGTAAAACATGAAGAATTATGGATTATTTCATAAAATCATGGCCCAAGAGTTTGTTAAAAACTCACAATTTCAACTTAAAACATGATGAATGTTCATGAATACAACATGCATGGGTTTTCTTGGTCTTGAGCTTCCCAAAACATGATCAAACACCACAAAATAACTTGAAACTTGATGATTTCCCCAAATGAAGATGAATTTCAAACATGCAAGAGAAGATTCGTGAAAATCATGCTCAATTTGTAAGAAAATGTACATGCATGCATGAATTGCCACTCAAATCTTCCTTCTAAGCTCAATATACACCCTTAAACACATAATCTTCATGTTGATAACTTAGATTCATAATTTAGGAATTGAATTCATACCTATAGTCTTGAATTAATCTAGCTCTAGCTTAGTTTTGATAAATCTAAGCCAAGGTCTTCAATTCTCCTTCAATTCCTTCAACTCTCTCTCTAGAATTGCACACTCTCTCTCTCTAAAAGAAAACCTCAGATTTTTGCACTAAGGGGAGCAAAGAATTGAGCTCAAAAATGAGTTAAGGCTCATATATATGTTTATGGTGCTAAATATTAATTAGAATATTAGGCTAACCAAACATGACTTAATTAATCGTTCTAAGTCAATTTTTAATAAAACTTGCCATATGGTTCTAAAAATTCAAAATAACATATCGGTGTAATCAATTTCGGTTTTGGATGTCGATAAGGCTTTCAATTTACATATCAAAGTGGAATTTCATACAGATATTTCTATAAGTAACAGATAGAAGGCCAAATATCATGCAATTTACATATTAATCCCATAATTCATTTGATCCACTCAATTAGCATCTTTAATCATTGATTAGTGGCTAATTACGGGTCAGGATTATTACACTAGTGTAGGATATAGTATAGATAAAGAAAGGACAGCAGAGTTGGGCGAGGCTAGGCCTGTAGCCACCCATCTCCATTCCCTACTTTATTAGGGTGGGGCAAGAATGTGGAAAGTTGGTGAGATGGTGGGGCAGGAAAGTTAATTTGTTACTTTAAGTGGGAATGATATTAATGAAAAAGAGATGATATAGCATATAAGAGAGCAAATATTAATGTGTAATAAGAGCAAAAAAATTTAGAAAGAGAGATAGAAAAGGAGACAAGAAAACTTGCAAGGTCTATCAGATTTTGTATTCGACAAACCCCTTATATTCTCTTCTTATATCCCCAATCAAAGAACCCCATGTCTAAGGCCTATTCGATTCTATTTTCGTTTTTTATTCTGATTTTGCTTTCTAAAAGATCCATTATCTCTAGAGTAGCTCTCCTTCACATCTCTAGATTACAGATTCCCAATTCACATCTAACCATAGTTCCTGGACTGTTAAACATAACATAGTTCTCATGTCATTCAATTATGTACCCCTTCAGAAATTAACTAGTAAATTTAGAAGTGGTTTGGAATGATCTAAATAAGTGTATTTTTGACTTTTTGTGAAATATGAGTTGAGTATGAGTTGAGTTTGAAGTGATGCAATATAGAGGGGATGTGACTTAAATAAGATAGTGACTTTTTGACTTTTTTAAAGTACCCCAAATAAGGCCTTAATCTATAAACTATAGCATACACGCCGCTGCTTTTTTTTTTTTTTGTTTTTGTAATAGTAGATTGACATGACTACTTTATATCTACTTTTTTTTAACAAGATGATCACATATCTTTCTACTAATGAATACACAATCACATAAATTAGACATACTGATAAATATCTCGTACGTCTTCACTCCCAAAACCATACAAGGTCTGCCTTTGTCTCTGTCAATCCATTTATTGACAATTAATGAGTCATTAGTTAGTGGGACCAAAATTTCATCTTTTAAATTTTAGCAAGGCCTTACTCTGAGCAACAAAGCAACTGTATGGAGATGGAGTACCAAGTTGGTAGGAAACCAAGGTTTCTATGCTTTCATGGATATAGAACAAGTGGGAAAATCCTTGAAAGAGAGCTCCAACGATGGCCAGAGTTTGTGAGGGAAAAGATGGAATTAGTCTTCATAGATGCACCTTTTCCTGCTCAAGGTCCACCAATACCACCAGCTGCTGCTGAGGGAAACTTTGATCCTCCCTATTATGAATGGTTCCAATCCAATGAGGTCAGATCAGATGGTCCATTTCTCAATTCTATTGTTTTTTTAGTGGCCAAGGATTTTCTGTACCCTAATCTCTCTATCCCAATTTATTCTCAACCCCATGTAATGGTTGGAACCTCAAAAGATGATATCTCAGAACATGGTCGTCTTATTGAGAATATATTGAAACAGAGAGATAGAAAAATTTAGACACATAGACAGGATTGTTTTTAATCTTATCATTCATCTCAAGTATTTCATGATATTATTTCAAAATTTTAACAATAACATTGTCTATTAATGTTCATTGTAGGATTTCTCGGAGTACATGAATTTTGATGAGTGTATTGCATACATAGAGGATTGCATGACAAGGATTGGACCATTTGATGGTTTGCTAGGTTTTTCTCAGGTACAATTATGAGGATTCAAATTTGATACAAAACCGGTGATGCATAATATTTATGTAATTTTTATAAAGTTTGGAACACTAAATAAATATAATAACTCCATGTGAAAACATATAATCCATATTGATAGCAGGAGGGTTGGAGCCAAAACATTAACAAAAATTAAAAGGCTTGTTTTTTTTTTTTTTTTTTTTTAGTAAATTTTACTTGTTCTAATTAAAAGGCTTGTTTTTTTTTTTTTTTTTTTCTAGTAAATTTTACTGGTTCTAACACACACAGACCAAAATTTTTTTTTTTTTTTTAAATATAATTAATGCCAATCAATCAAACTATACTTCTTGTTTATTACAAGATCTTTTAAAATGTTATTTACCAATGTTTTTTAACATGAGATTGGATTTACTTTTTTGAGTACCTGAAAGTAATTGTTACACAAAATGAGGGTTTCAAAATTTTGCAGGGGAGATGATCAAGCTTGGCCATTACATGAAATTCAAAATGCTTTGATAAATAGTCTATAAGTTTGGAGGCCATTGCAAGACGTTCAAAATGTTTTGCAAAAATAATCTATCTATAAAGTGACCTTTTTCAAATTTTTTAAGGAGCCACTATCCTCTAGCACAGCCAAGAAGTTAAATTAGAGAGGGCATTTATTAATTACAATATTAAAAATTTTATAAAAATATTTCACAGAAATTTTTACTATTGACTTTAAGAAATATTAAAAAAAAATGTTATTTGTAACTAATGTATCATGAACAATATAAAAAAAAGTCATGGATATAAGTTTCAAAATCAATTATATAATGATAAAGTAATTTTTTTATACAAAATATGAGTAAAAATTCAATATAATAGTAATATCACGTTATCATTGACATGTGATATCACTAACTAATTGTAAGGAAATACATGGAAGATGAACTCCATATGTCAAATGTAACTAACAATCTAATAAATTTCATATGTTCATTGAAATTAATTATATTTCCATGTCAATAATGATTGACATCACCATTATATTGAAATTTTCATAAATAATAATATGACTTATCGTAGTCTCTTTATTTTCAATCAAAACAATTATTATTATTCTCATAATTTTAAAAATGTCGTTGATATTTCACTCTAAACAATATTTTTATAAATTTGTTTATTTAAAATATTTTCTTTATGTTTGTAATATATATATATATATATATATTTCAAAACCTAAGAGGCACATGACCCCCTAGACCCTCTTTACCTTCGCCTCCCCTGCCTACACCTTGATGCCATCATCAATTCATAGACATGATTTCTCTCTTTTCTCTTCATTTAAGCTATGTTTGGTTCATAAATTTGGAGAGAGATTTGGAAAGGAAAATGAAATATATGTGTGAAACGTAAGTAAAATATATTTCAGTCACATTTCACTTATCTTTCCCTTTTTGAATCACTTATCAAATCTATAAACTAAACACAGCCCGGTGAATATTTTACAAGAAAAATGATATGAATCACTGAAAATTTATCTATCAATATTTTTCACGTCCAATGTGGATATAAAGGATTGAGAGTGGGATAAACATCTTATTTTAGGAATATATATATTTGTCATTTAAAATCAAGAGATTGATCTAGTGGATAAAGCGCTCCTTACTAAACGTGATGCCTGAATTCGATTCTTACCATTGTGATTTGCAATTTCCTATATTCCCCTCCTGAGTATTGCTGTTGTGATTTGCAGTTTATCATTGCCTTGTTCCCCTCCTACTTACTTTTAGAATGCATGTGTGAATTTTTTAGCGACACATAGCACGGCCCATTTACAAACAGACTTGTTGAGAAAAATGAAGAAAAGCAGACAAAGAAAGCCAAGGATTCAAAAAAGTTTCTCTTTTTATTTTCTCAAACTTCTCATTAAAAGAAAGGAGAGCTAACAGTCTGTAATCAAAAAGAGTTCCAACCTTAACCTCAAGGGTTGGCCTAGTGAGTGCAGTTTGGGGTATAGGTGTGTGCTTCTTCTAAGTCACACATTCAACTCTCATTAGGAGAAATTCAATCATTGGGGCAATGCCTACGGGCTCTGCGCTTTGCATGAGTCCTGAAATCAGTCGAGATGCTTATAAGCTGACCCGGATACCCAATCATAAAAAAAAGAAAAAGAAAAAAAAAAGAAAGGAATTCTAACATTCACTAGCTATACATACAAACATAACATCCGCATGACTTCAAAACATTCATTGTTGATTTCAGTACTGTTTTGAATATAGCATTTTCTTATTTATTTATTTATTTTTCGGGTTCAATGCAAGGGAGCATTATTATCCGCTGCATTACCAGGGATGCAGACAGAGGTACGGAATAGCATTTTTATTATTTCTTCTTCTTCTTCTCCTTCATCTTAAAAATAATAAATAAATAAAAAATGATCACCATTTTGATTATTTCATGGACAATCATGTAAGTAGTAACTTGAAACAAAATCTTTTTCGCCAATCATTTTCTTTTTTTGCTAATCTTCTTGTTACCTCTAGAGAAGGCTCTGGCCTATGAGGTGACAGCAAAGTCGTTGAAATCTCCGGCCAGGAGGCGAGCATAATTGATGGAATCGATTTTGTCTACAACATCATTCCAAAATTGTTCCCAATTATGATCGAGGGTTAGGGCTAGCATAAACTGCATGGCTTGGAGTGAATGTAATTATTGGTATGTTGATTGCAGGGTGTGGTTCTCACTAGAGTTCCTAAAATAAAATGTGTGATAATTATATCAGGGGGTAAATTTGGGGGCTCAAAATTTTCTTCACCAAAGCTTGCTGAAAATGCCTTCTCTTCTCCCATTGAATGCCCGTCACTCCACTTCATAGGTGGTATTTCTTATTCGTGTAATTTTAATGCATCACATTAGTTTTTCTTTTTGTGCTTGAATTCTCCTTATATTTTATTTTATTTTTAAATTTGGATAAATTCAAACTGACTATGTGGTTGGTCATGATGCATGATTGCGTTAGCTCCACTTGGGGACCAGTCATAACCGACAATCTACCGCGTATTCTTCGAAAATATTGCCATATAAGTATCGGGTGCTTGTATATCGGTAAACGAAATAACTTGTGTACAACAAGCACGGGATGAGTAGGTTTCAGATTCAGGATGCCTATGTTTGGGTATTTCAGGGTATAAATGTAATTTTTTTTAATATAGAGATATTAGAACAATTATATCGTATCTATTTTTAAAAATTGTAGTACAGATTTTTTTTTTCAATATTAAAAAAAAAAACTTATGATTCTTTTTTTAACTCATACTAAAATATTTAAACTATGTTTTGAATTCGATATTTTAATTGTCGTATGTCACACACTACAATAAAAATAAAATAAAAAATTAAAAAAAAACTTTTTAGTATCAATATATTCATAACGTACTCCCATCCATGCTTCCTATCTTCTTCTCTTTTATTTATTTATTTTTTTATGACTGATTGTTCGGATTAGCTTATATGTAAGTCGACTGATTCTGAAACTCACGTAAAGCATCCCCTCCACATTAATCAGACAAATCTTAAGCAAAGCTCATAGACGTGGCTCCAAATAATTGATAGCACTTAATGAAAACTGAACCTGAGACCTAGAGAAAACACACCCCTAGATCCCAAGATGCACCTACTAGACCAACTCCTTGGAGTTCCCATTGGTCTTGAGAAGTATTACTCTCTTTCTTTCTTTTATAAAAGGATAGGTGAACTGTTTTTGTAGGTGAGAAGGACTTGGCGAAGCCATATGCAATCGAACTCCTGGATCCATTTGTTGATCCTTTTGTGATATTTCACCATGAAGGTCATGTGGTACCTAAACTAGGTAATGCATGCATGCTGATAAATTCATTTTCATGCAACATGTAATTTTTTGTTTGCTATTTAGGGTAGCATATCCTCAGCAATTGTTTTGTGAAGTGGTTTTTTTCAAAACACCACTGGTTGTGTTTCAATTATAGACTTGGATAGGATTGAAAAGTGAAAAAAAAGGCGAGGGAAAAAATCTTTATTTAAATCTATAATTCAAACACAACCTAAAAGACAATATTATGGGAACACATGTAGAATCATAAAATGACCTTATCAGTTCGAAAAATTAAGGTCAAAACAATTTGAAAAATGATTATTGAAACTTGAATTTGGTAAATAACTCCATCAGTGCCCTTATGTCAAGTTAAATTTGTTTATTTTAACAACAATCTTTGATTCACTATCTTTGATTCTTTGTGGTTTTACCCTTTCTCAGATGAGAAAGGCTTGGAGGTCATGCTCAGCTTTTTGGAGAAGATTCAGAAACTGTTGTAGAAAAGAGATCGTGAGAGGAGAGCAAAAGTTTGTTGATAATGGGAATGAAAAGGCTTTCATCTCTTGGATATAACAAAAATTTTATTTCATATAAATGTGCAAGCTAGCAAATGGCATTGTCAAGTTAAATTTGCTTATTTTAACAACAATTTTTGATTCACCATTTTTTTCACATAAATATGCAAACTGGCCAATGGCATTTTCATGTCAATTTGACAGCTATTATTGATGACAACGTGTTTTTTTTTTTTTAATGGGTCAGTCCTTAGTCAGTTATCTATTCTATTATATAAAGGGAATCACTATGTAAAATAAGGGAGTAACTCATTTCAAGACTCTATTTTCTGCATATCTTTCAAGACTCTACTTCGTGAGCCTTAAGGGACCCATAACGGTGATTCAAACCGTTCCTATTGTTAGTTATATATATATATATATAAACCGTTCCTCTTGTAGGCCACGAAAAGAAGAATCATATGCAAAAAATTAGTGTGATCGGATATTGATAGACATACTAAATAATCGTGTTTTGTTTTATGAAATGAATGATAAATATGATTTTAAATTAAAGTATACTTATAGGTGTCCGAGCAAGCTAATATTTTACATATATGTCATTTTCTTTAATGCCTATAAAATAAACGGTTTGAATTATTGTGATGGATCCCGTGAGACACGTAAAGTAGTGGCTTAAAGAATATGAAAAAGATAAAACCTTGAAAGGAGCCGCACCTGTAAAATAAAGTAGCCAAAGTCAGAAGTTAATTGCAGAGGATAAAATGCCATAAATAATCTTTTCTTTGCTTCAAGTTAATTGTGAGGAGAATGATATAAAGGTTTTGTCATTTGGGGACATTATGCACAGAATAATAATAATAATAAATAAATAAATAATAAAAATATTAAGAGAGTCGCTATTTCCATTCCATTTTGTTTCAAGTATACTCTCTTCTTTTTCTTTTATTATATATAGTTAAATTAATATTCTTTCACACAAAATTTTCTCCCTGAAAAAACTTAAATTCCAAAGGTATTAATGTAAATTATATATAATAAGGACAAAGAAAATAGTATATTTGGAATAAAGTAGAGTCCGAATAATAACTTCCATAAGTAAATAAAATAATGTGTAAACAATTTTTTTTTTTTATCAAATAAGATTCGCATTAATTAGAAATAAGATTCCTTGTCTTTGTATATAGTGATAGGGATGAATAAGAATTTTATTTAAGTGGTGTGAAAAATATATTTTCACCTTTTGATATAATTATTATATTTTAAGTTTTCTTAGCATAATTTACGAGCATGTGAATATATATCTATATATATAAATGTGAGATTAATTTATATATGAAAGTGAACAAATTTATATTCAGCCACAACAAAATATGGTATGCTTGTACTTCTATTTGATAATAAAAGTACAATTTTATTGGATCATTGTATATATAAGGTCTCGTTTGTCAACTATATATTTTAATCAAAAAGTTATTATCAGTTGTCATATTATTCTCTTTACTTTTCTATACATCTTTTCGTAAAAAGTCAAAAAATTACAAAAAATTATTTGTTCCCAAACGAGGCCTAAATTATACTAGAAGTCGAGTACATGCAACGTGTAGAAATTAGCTGGAAAAGAAAAGGGAATGGCTTCCCTCTAGTCTGTGGTCGGACTGAAAAGTACTATTGGACCCATGGGTAGGCCCACCACAGGTTCCGTTGTGATAATCTGAACCGTTAATATGTAGAACTCATCGAGTACTATATGCTTGTAAAAAATCACGTTAATCGGATATCGATAGTTATGTGATCAAATCAGATTTTTGTAAGTCATTTATTTTTCACTGTCCGTTTTTTTCATACAAAATGAATTTGATCATATAACTATCAATATCCGATCAACGTGATTTTTTACAGGCATATAATACTCGACACGTTCTACACATTTAACGGTTCAGATTATTGAAACAGGACCCATGGTGGACTCCCATGGGCCCAACAGTACCCTCCAGTTTGTGATTGGATTTGAGGGAAGTCATTCCCAAAAGAAAATTATAGATGGATGAGAAAAAAAAACTTAAAAGAGAAGCAAAATTTAAAATTGAAAACTTGAGCAGTTACATAAAGGTTATTTAATAGTGGCTTAAATACTTATTCTTTTCTTTTGTTAAATTTAAATTTGATGAAAAAAGTTCAATTTTGGTGCTCCAATCATAACATCAAACTAATATTAAATTGAGGATGTCTTAAATTTTTCATCAAATTGAAAATGCTCGGAGTGTTTCATTAAATTTGTAGGTGACTGTTGGGCCGAACGTTCGCCTAGACGTCCTCTTGGACATCCTCGGGACAACCTTTTCCTTGCAAAATTGTCCTGCAGGTTGTGGACATTTTATACAAAATCGGTCGATCGGTCGGACATCTGCTCGGTCGTCCCCAGTCGACTGGTGCTTTGATGAAAATTTAAAATTTTCCGTTGGAACGCATGATATCAAATGAAATTTTTACTCAAATTTAATAAAAAAAAGAGTAAAAACGTTGGATATGCTCTTATACAGGAGAAAATCCATGACATAAGTGTTCACTCTAATGAGTTATGTATTTTATATTGTTAGGACCCTACCTATTGCCAATTCCGCAAACAAGCTTGGGTTAATCGAGTTATAATGTTTCCTCTATTTTTGGTCTTCCCGCTTGAGCGAGGAAAGTTATGCTCGAGCGGAGTTTCCACCTTCCCAGTACTTTGGCTAGTCTGCAAAAATACTGTGAGGTGTGATTTTACGCTCGAGCGTAAGTTCCTGCGCTCGAGCGTGAATCCTGGTTTGAAACATGCGTTTCAGCGTCCCCGCTCGAGAGTTCATTCCTGCACTGGAGCGGATTTCATGATTTCAAACTGCTATAAAAAGCTACTGTTTGCTCTGCATCTAGGGCACGGCTTTTAGATCTTCTTTGAGGGTTTTAGGGTTTTCTTTTGGGCTATTTTGCTAGGTTTCTTTGATGTTTGATTGAGTATTGAACTCATGGTTTGACAAGCATACATCAAGGGGTTTGAGTGTTTATCTTTAAGAGTGTTCTTCTTCAGTGGAACCCGGAGATTCAAGTGTAGAGTATTCGAAGGAGTTTGATGTTGTGCGTAGTCGTTGAATCGACAATTGATGTTGTGGATTCAACATCAATCTGATCAATTCTGAGACGAAGGTTGCGGTGAAAGATATACAGATTGTTGAAGACAGATTGTTGAAGACAAATTGATAGTGTTTGGGTAATTTGTTTGCAAATTTATATTCTTTCTTCCTTTAATAATGGATTGATTCGTGGCGTTTCGCCTGTGATTTTTTTAATAACAATTAGAGATGCTCTAATTGTGATTTTTTCACGTAAAAATCGTTTGTGTTGATTTATTATTTTTAAAGTGACAATCTAAATCATTGTCGTATGTGCTAGAGGATTTAGATTGTTAGTTTTAATCGTTAGTTTTAATCGTTTGGGAATTGGTACAATTAATCTTGATCTAATCACGAATCATTTAGGTTTTTCAATTTGGTATCAGAGCAGGTCACTCTTTGTTTTTATCAAAACTATAGGAGTGTGATTTTGTGTGATTGGTGATATGGATTCAATTCGTGAAGGTAACTTGACCCATAGACCTCCGTTACTTGATGGTACAAACTATTCATATTGGAAAGCTCGTATGAGAGCGTTTTTAAAATCTATCGATGAGAAAGTTTGGTATTGCATGATCTATGGGTGGAGTGAACCTATTGTCACCATTGATGGTGTTGATATCCCCAAACCTCTTGATAAATGGGATGCATTCGACTATCAAAACTCGTGTTGGAATAGTAAGGCTCTCAATTTCCTCCTTTGCTCCGTCACACTGGAAGAGTTTCGCCGTATTTGCACGTGTAAGGTAGCAAAAGAGGCTTGGGACATTCTTGAAACTATTCACGAGGGTACTACTTCAGTTAAAATGTCAAAACTTCAACGTCTCACCTCCTCTTTTGAAACTCTTTATATGCGTGATGATGAGACATTTGATGATTTTTATGCTAAACTTAGTGACATCGTGAATTCCTGTTTTATACTCGGTGAAAAAATCCCTGAAGCTAAGGTTGCTGGAAAAATTTTGAGGTCTTTACCCAAAAGGTTCCAATCAAAATTATAGCTATTGAGGAGGCTCAAGATATTGATACCCTCAAGATTGATCAGTTGGTTGGAAACTTGCAGACTTATGAAGCCCACCAGATTTCTAAAAAAAACAAAAAGATAGTGTACCTTTTACTAGTGCCCATGAGATTGAGTTTGATCTAGAGTCTGAAATGACGGCTATGTTTACCAAACAGTTCAAAAAAATTTTTTAAAAAAAGAAGCCTAATTTCAAGTACTCTAGTTCAAAAGATAAGGGTAATGAAAAACCCAAAACTTTTCCACCAAAAGTTGCTCAAAAAACTGAAAAGAAGACTGTGAAGGGGCAAGGTGTCAAGTGTTATAACTGTCAAGGGTTTGGTCATATTGCTCTTGAATGTCTATCTAAAAAGAACCGGAAGAAAGTCTATACAGTGACCTGGGATGATGGAAGCAGGTCAGAGCAAGAACCCGAAGAAAGCAAATCCGGTGAAGACGGAGATAGTATTTACATGGCATTCTGGTCTACTGTCACTCAACCTCCTTTAAAGCTAGTGAAGTTTGCTCGTGGTCAGAATCTGCACCGTGCTCCTATCTTTGATGGGAGTAACTACTTATTTTGGAAGATCCGAATAAGGATGTTTCTTAGAGCTCATGACCCTAAAGGTTGGCAAGCCATTGAAGAGGATGCTGAAAGTGCTGACAATCCAATCAATCAAAGAGTTCTAACTGTCATTCGTGAAGCAATTACTGAAGAAGAATAACAACGAATTGCTCACCGTACAAAGGCCAAAGGTGCATGGGACATTTTGAGTCAATTCCATGAAAGAGAAGAGTTATCGTCACCACCATCCACCAACTTTCATGCCTTGGTTGCTTGACTGGATAAGGTCAAGGAGAACGAGGAGAAAAAGAAGATGAAGACGATGAAACCTCGGAAGATAATGATGAGATCGATGGTGATGATCTACAACAAGCTTATGAAAAGCTTTACAATGAATCGCTGAACTTGTCCAAGATCAATGACAAATTGACTTGCAAGCTCAAAGGATGTGAAAGCGAGAATGTAAAGCTAAAAGGAGAGATTTCAACAACAAAGTAGAATGTCAA